CCTCTGCTGTGGGCACGCAGCACAGGAAAGCAGGGACTAGGGTGTTTGGAACCTGGGGCCATGACTTGGACAAGGTCCGAACAACAAGCAGAGAAGCCCAAGTCAAATACGGGAAAGATGGTATGCTTCATGAGAGAGCAGCAGGGGCTAGCAATCACACAGCCAGGCTTAGCCTCCAGGCCCTGAGACAATGGGGGTCTTGGAAGAGGGGCCACCTGCTGTGTAGACACAGTTTTTGTTCTTTTTTTTGCACTTGTATAGTTTATTGCTCTGTATGTGTTTTAGTGACCATTCTATTTGGGTTTGGGCTTTGTTGTTTTTTTAAATTTTTGTTTTTGATGATGTTTACATAGTTGATCAGGGTAGTAAAGGCCAAGGATCGGGGAAAGTGGACAAGACCATTGTCTACACATTTTCTTCTTCTTCTTCTTGTTTCTGGGGAAGAGAAGGATACAGTGGAAGAGATTACACGCAGTCTCCCCAGTACCTGTTGACATCCCAGGCTCCCTGTTGTGGAGCATGCTCTGAGGGTTTTGCTTAAGTGGTTTCGATAGCTCTGAGATGCTGTTGATATTGCTGCTCCAAGGATGAGGAAATCCTGCCAAGGTCAATTAGCTGGCATAGTCTACCTCAAAGTCTCCATGTGTCCAAAAGTTTGCCGTCATGTTTCACTGTGGTAGTGGATTAATTTGTTCTGCCCTGCTTTCTCTGCACACCAATAGGTGCTGTGGTGCAGCCCAACCCTGCCCATGACGTGCTAAGCCCTCAGGTACACTGGGGGGAGCTGAAGCCCAGTCACAGTGACACCCAATAACCCTCAGTGGATCAGCCCCCAGCTCTGGGCCTGTGCCTGTCAACATGTGCAGTAGACTGTCCGGTCTGTCCCACATCCCCTTCAGATCTTGCACACATCATTGGAGTGGAAGCCTAACTCTACCCAGCAGACTCCACCATCTAGCCTACATTCATGCCAGTGGGTGCCGTTGTTGTCTAGCCAGGAGCACCTCCAGTCCTGGTTCTCACATGCATCATTGGAAGGTACAGCCCATCAGAGATGTGCCCACAGTCTCCACAATGGACCCACTCCCTGTGCCAGATCTTGCACACTACAGGCAGTTCTACAGTCTAGCTTGTCAGGACTTGCCCTATTCTAGCACTTGCCAGCTCACTGTGGCAAAGCCCAACCCACCTGCCCTTACTCTGGCTCATGCCTGTACCAATGGATAAAATCGGTTAGCTCAGCATGATCTCCCCCAACCTAGTTCTCACATGGCCAATAGATGTTGTAACCCTGCAAAGCCTGGTCTGCCCCAAGTCCCAGCTCTTGTACTCATCAGCAGAAGCATTGGTTCTGCAGGAGAACCCCCCATTACTCCTCTGCCTGGCTCTCACACCTCCCCTCATCTCATGTGTGTTGGTGTGTGTTGCGGCCCTGTTTGCCATGGTCTGTCTCACCTTGGCACCTGGCCTGGCCCAATTTGCCCCTGACCCAACTTGTGCTGGTGGCAGGTGCCACCCACCCAGCACAGTCAGCCTCCAGTCTCAGCCCAAATATGAACTGGCTGGTGATGTGGTCAGATCCAGCCTGTTCTGCACCCCATTCTGGTTCTCATATCTGCCAGTGGATGTGATGAACTGGTGCAGCCTGACCCACTTCCAGGCTTGAGCCACATGTATGTTGACAGGTACTGTAACCTTGTCTTGTCTGGACTGCTCCTTGCCTTTGTCAGGTTGCACCCTGACAAAGGAGTTCCCTAAGCTCCTTGTTGAGTCTCCTCCCTGGGGCAGATCTTGCACACACCAATGGGTCCTTGACCTGGGCTGACTTCATCTACTTGCTGTCCTGGCAGAAACGGTGGCCTTGCTCAACTGACCCTAACCCAATCTGGTTCTTACTGTTGGGTGTTACAACACAGCCATACCTAGTCCTTATACTGACACATCTCTCACATGGCCTAGTGGGGTGAGCCAAACAAGCTCATTCTGTTGAAAATCTTCTCTGGCTCTCAGAAGCACCAGTGGATGCTGCAGTCTAGCCTCGTCTGGCACCCTCCAGACCCAGTCTACCCCCATGCTGAAGAGCACTGCAGCCATTCCAAGCCCAGACCATCACACCCATTCTGGCTCTCACACTTACCAGTGGGAAACATAGCCCAGCTGCAGTGACCCCTTAGTACCCCAACCAAGCCTGCTCCTAGGCACAAATTTTGCATGTGCCTGGGGTTGCTCTGACTCTGTTTGGCATAGCCCATCCTCTGAGTTGACCTTTTTCCTCAGATGCTACAGCCTGGACTGACCCGTTGCTCCCTCAGTGCCAACTTGCTGGTGAGTGCTATAGGCTGGCCCTGCCCAGTCTGCCCCTACCCCGACTCGTGGAAACCAGTAGACGTGATAGCTGAGGCTGGCATGTCCCACATTCCAGCTAGGCTCCTGCATTTGCCAATGAGCTTAGGTTGGCCTGGTCCTGCTCAATCCATTCCCTTCCAAAACCAACCCACGGGCCCGGCGCGGTGGCGCAAGTGGTTAAGTCCTCGCCTTGCACGCCCGGGATCCCATATGGGCGCCGGTTCTAATCCCGGCAGCCCCGCTTCCCTTCCAGCTCCCTGCCTGTGGCCCGGGAAAGCAGTCGAGGACAGCCCAAGGCTTTGGGACCCTGCACCCATGTGGGAGACCCGGAAGAGGCTCCTGGCTTCGGATCGGCATAGCATCGACCCGTTGCGCTCACTTGGGGAGTGAATCATCGGACGGAAGATCTTCCTCTCTGTATCTCCTCTCTGTATATCCGCCTTTCCAATAAAAAATAATAAAAATAAATCTTAAAAAAAAAACAAAACCAACCCACACACTTGGTAATGGCTGGAGCACCCTGCCTGGTCTGACCAACACCCAGGACTCAATCACATACTCACCAGTGAGAACTACAGTCAAAAGCAAAATAATCTTAAGGTCAGGCCTGTCTCATGATACTTGTAAACTCTAACAACACATTTATTTCGCAGTATATGGTTTCCGTGAAAGCAATCTCTATTTCACAACAAAAGGTCCCATGTTCAATGCTTGTAAAATCATTGAAGTTGGTTATTGCAAAGGTCTATATGAAGAGTCAGAATCCAGGATTTCCTCATCTCCAGTCATAAATGTTTACCCAGAGTGACTTATAGAGAGTGATTCAGCATGGTTTTTTTTAAACTTCACAGCAGCACACTGCTGGCTTTTGTATCAACGTCTATATCAAAAATCTTTCTCACAATTGGAGAGAAGAGTGCCTACATTAAATGTATTATTCAAGTACACCATTATCAATGGAGTGCTTGCTGTAGAGATTCATTTCTTTTTCTTGAAAAGGCTGTTTTATAGAAAGAAGGAAAACAGAATCAAAGCTCTTTTATCACTTCTGTTGATTTTACTGGTTTTTTCCACTTATTTCTTTGGTTTTTGTGCTTGACACAGGACGGCTGCACACACAGAATGCAATCCTCAGCTGGAGGAGTCACAGTCATCTTGGAGGCAGTGGTCTCACAGAGGGACAGGTGGAAAAAGAACTTGAAGGGATTGAGATCTCCACGAATGGAGATTTGACGAGTTGAGGGAAATCTGATAGGAGTAACAGAGCTGAGAATTTCAGGACGGTGGAACATACTGTGCTCTTCAGTTTGCTCTCCAAAGCTTACTTACCAGAGACTTTGTTTCCCCTAAAAGAACAGTGTCTTGAGGTCCTTAGGATTTTGTTTCCAGCCTCTCCAGAGCTAGTCAAGGTCTCCATATCCATATGAATTTTTTAAATTTCATTTTGTTTTTAATGTTATACACTTCCCTATGTATTTTTAATTGCTGTTTAGGCCAGAAAATCAATATTTCTGCTTGATAGAATCTTTCCTTGTTTACTCTCTATTTAGTTCATATGTAGTTTTTTCACTGCATGTTTTAAAGTGCTACATATTAATTTCAATGAACTTTTATACAGTTCTTCAGTACATAAATGGTGGATTTCTCATAAAATGCAAAAAAACATACTTACATATAAACACAAAACACATAATGATCCTAACAATATTTTAATGAATAAATAACAGACTTCAAAGAAACAAAATGAAACTTTTTCCTAATATACAGTAATTTCCTAGTATACAGTAATTTTCAGAAACTGTAAAATATTGATATGTTTTGATGACTTAAACATGTGGAATCATATTTTGTTCTTATTTGATATAAGGACTTTCACTGAATGTATTATTATATAAATGGCGACAATGCTCACATTTGCATATAACCTATAAAACCTTTCCGTATACTTCAGAGCACATCAAGACCACTTATATTATCTGATACAACAAAAATGTTAGGTAATGGGTTGTTATTCCCCCACCTTTATGCAATAGAGAGGAAAAATAGCTGTATATGTTCATTGCTGTGTTTTTGACTGAAGATTTTCTAGTTGTGGATGATTGAATCTGTGAATTCAAGACCCTCATATGTGGAGGACTCATTGCATTATAAATATTTGAGACAAATTTATATAATTATATTTAATTTGAAATTTTTGTTGTTGACGTTGTTGTTGTGGCTGTTCTAACTCATACCCGTTGTTGACCTTGTTTCATGGCTTCTAAATTATGGAAATGCATAGTGAAGGAGTACTGGGGTCTATCATATACAGATGTGGGGAAACAATGGAATATACATCCCTGCTTTCAGATGAAAGATGGATTCCCAATGAAACTGTTGGACATGTGTAGACAATGGGATGCTGGACTCTTTGACACTGTCTATACCAACAATGTTGGGGTAATTTAAATAAGAGACTGATAGAAATATAATTCCATATGAAGGGTTACACCATTGTAGTAACAGGGAAAATCTGTCAGGGGTGGGAGTTCTGGGGGAATCCCAGCCAATACAAAATTGTACCACATAATTCAAAATTCAAAATGAAAATATATTTAAAATATTTCATTTGAATAAATATGTATAAACGTTTATTTTAGTGCACGGATAATTACTTAGGACAAAATTTTATTCTTCAGGTTCTTTAGAGCCTCTTTCACATCCTTGTTCCGAAGGCTGTAAATTAGAGGGTTCAGCATGGGGATCTCTGGGGTGTAAAACAATGAAGTTATCTTGTCTTGATCTAGAGAGTAGGAAGAACTTGGTCTGAAGTACATGAAGAGCATAGTTCCCTGGAAAATGGCGACTGCAGTTAAGTGGGAGGTGCAGGTAGAGAAAGCTTTGAGCCTCCCCTCAGCAGAGGGCATCTTTTCTTTATTATTATTACATTTGATTGTATAACACAGTTTCATAGACCCTGGGATTCCCCCAACCCCTCCCCCCATGGTGGATTCCTCCACCTTGCTGCAGCATTATAGTTCAAATCCAATCCTCATTCTTTCATTGAAAGCATATACTTTGCACTTATTGTCCAGATAAGTTCAACAATTTCTTGAGCAGACCATCTCTGGTCTGAAGGCAGAGCTGGCAAAATATCATCCTGACCAATTAAAAGCCACAACATAACATCAACAACTGTTTACAACCTTATGGAGTTAAATGACATGGTACTGAGTAACCAACATGTTAATAGGAAAATGCAAGTTCTTAACCACATCTTGTGACTATTTCATTGACATTTCAATTTTAGTGTATACACAACTGGTTGCTATACACCTTAAAATGGCTATTGGGTACTATTCAGCTGTCTTGTGTCCATTTTCCTTTTTGTATTTAGTAGTTTATAGTGTTGAAGCATAATTTTTACTGAACTTGGTGGTTTTGGGATAGTCCTTATTGGCTTATAACTCTAACAAGGCATATATCAACAGTTAAGGCACAGAACAGTTTTAGGAGGGGTGTGCAGAGAAATTGTAATACCTTAGTGAGAAGTAATTTATGTTCATGTCCTACCTGGTAAGGTATATGTGGATCCACACTGACTGTTTCCTGTCTGGTACTAAGCTTTCCTTGTTATTCTCTGTCTATCCAATCCAATTTTTTTTTTGGGGGGGGGGGTGCTCTGGAGCGATCCTTATGGTCACTGCAAGAGAAGGTGGGGATCCTAAGTTGGAACCAAGCAAGGATCAGAGAAAATTCCTCTCCCAATTCCCGAAGGAAGTGTACTGATCTTCTGTCTCTATGGGCCGCTCAGGGCTCCTGACTGTTGTTTCAATGACCTTGGATCCTGCGAGGAAGGATTTGGACTTCTTCCATCCCATGTGGGAGATCCAAACGGAAGTAGATGACCTCAGAGTTCTCGGCCTCCGAAGGCACTCCAATGCCCCGTGGTCTCCTTGGCAGTTGGGATGCAGTCCTTGCTGCCCTTGCTGATAGTCCTTGGTGAGGATCTGGGAGTCTCCAGGGTTGGATACAAGCCCCCTCCTGTCAGTAGAGGGCATCTTTAAGCCTGATGAAATGATGCAACAGTAAGAGGCAAGAACTCCTGAGATAGTACTCAGTTCAGTGAATCCAAACACAGTGAAGATCACCAACTCATTAACCTGAGTATCTGAGCATGATAGCAACAGCAGAGGAGGGACGTCACAGAAGAAGTGATAGATCTCATTAGAACCACAGAAACATGAATGAAATGTCAGTGTGGTGTGTGTCAATGCATCTATCATTCCCACAAAGTAAACCCCAGCCAACAGCTGGAAGCAAGTCTTGGTGGACATGTTGACCATATAGAGCAAGCTGTTGCTGATGGCCTGGTACCTAGCAAAGCATTTCCTCCTGTAAATACAGCAACCACTTTAACAGGGGCTGAAGTTCTGATTATTTAACCCTATCATCAAATTGATCAATGTCAGAAGTTTGTACTATGTAAATTAATTAGGTTAAACACAATGCTTCTCTCTGTGTCAAAATGCCAATCAAGACCCTGTGTGGTAGCCTAGCAGCTAAAGTCTCCACCTTGAAGTGCTGGGATTCCGTACAGGCACCAGTTCTGAACCTGTCGGCCCTGCTTCCCATCAAGCTCCCTGCTTGTGGTTTGGGAAAGCAGTCGAGGATGGCCCAAAGGCTTGGGATCCTGCACCCATGTGGGAGATGCACAGGAGACACCTGGCTCCTGGCTTCAGATCGGCACAGCTCTGGCCATTGCAGCCACTTGGGGAGTGAATCATTGGATGGAAGATCTTCCTCTCTGTCTCTCTTCATCTCTGTATATCTGACTTTCCAACAGGAAAAAAAAAACAGAATTCATTTGTTTACCTACAAGGATATATCATCCAGCTATAATTAAGGTTATTCATTCATTTGTTTTTTTTTTAGATTTATTTATTTATTGGAAAGTCACATATACAGAGTGGAGGAGAGACAGAGAGGAAGATCTTCCATCCAATGATTCACTCCCCAGGTGAGCGCAACAGCCGATGCTATGCCGATCCGAAGCTAGGATCCAGGAACCTCTTCTGGGTCTCCCACACGGTGCAGGGTCCCAAGGCTTTGGGCTGTCCTCGACTGCTTTCCCAGGCCACACGCAGGGAGCTGGATGGGAAGTAGAGCTGCCGGGATTAGAACCGGCGCCCATATGGGATCCTGGTGTGTTCAAGGCGAGGTTTAGCTGCTAGGCCATGCCTCCGGGCCCAGAAGGTTATTCGTTCATTTGTATCAGAATAGAATTGGAGGTCTTTAAACTGAGTAAAATAAGCTGGACATAGGTTCCAAAACAGCCCTGAGTTTCTGTGACTACCATTCTATTTCAGGAACATTCAAATACAACAGGAGTATAAAGATGAAGATAGAATTCTTCCTTTCTGCTGATCAAAGATTTCTGCCCCTTCTGCCCATCGAGTGCCCACAGTTGTCATGTTATCTGGTGTCCATAATCAGCCACCTGCTGTACAGATGGAAGCTTGTGAGCTCCTTGCTCTCACCCTAACGTAGTGCAATTGGTCAGGGAGGAAGGGGTGGTGGAAAGTAATGCCAGGTAAATACTCCAGCCCCTCCATACAGTTGTGGCCCTACATAAATGGTGATTCTTCAGACATTCTGTTTGGGGCACAGAGGACTTGGCGTACAGCCCCAGCATCCCATATGAGTACCAGGTTGAGTTTACTTCCAAACCAGCTCCATGCACCTGTGCTTGAGAGGGAGGAAGTGGAGGATGGTCCAAGTGCTTGGGCCTGTGATGAAACTGCAAAACCAACCAGGGGCCAGATCTTCCTTCAGGACATTAAGGTCAACAGGTGATTGTAGGGGTGTCTTATTTGGTAACCACTGTTGGTTTGGGTGTTGGGAATCCGTCAGAGTGTTGCACTTTTCAACGAGACAATGACAGTGATCTGCAAGCCAGAAAACCATATTGCCAAAAATTTGCAGCCACTAAACACCGTGTCAGTGACCTGCAAGCCAGGGAACCGCATGACAGCCATCTGTGAGCCAGGGATTGAAAGCCACTGTACTGCTTGCCAGCGATCTGCAGGTAGGGAACTGCTTTCCAGTGATTGGCGAGCCAAAAAAACACACGCAAGTAACCGATTAGCCAGAAAACTGTGTGCTAGCCATCTGTGAGCCAGTGAACCACGTGCCAGTGATCGGTGAGTAAAGAAACCACGTGCCAGCGATCCATGAGCCAGGGCACGTGTGCGAGGGATTGGCCAGCACGGTACTGCATGCTAGTGATCTGCAGCCAGCGATCTGCCAGTGAGGGAAACCCGAACCAGCAGTCTGCAGCCAGGGAAACACTTGAGAGCCATCCAAGAGCCAGGGAACTGAGTGCCAGTGGTTTGTTAGCCTGGGAACTATAAGCTGGGGGTCTGCAGCCAGGGTAATGTGCGCCAGCTGTCCAGGGGCTAGGGAAACACGTGCCTGCAATCTACAGCCTGGGAACTGCTTTCCAGCGACTGGAGACCCAAGAAACTGCCTGCAAGTAATTGGTTAGCCACGGAACTGCGAGTTGGTGATCTGCAGCAGGGAATTGCGAACCAGCAAGCCCTGAGCCAGTGTACTGCATGCAAGGTAACTGCATGCCAATGATCTGCAGCCAGGGAACTGCTTAGCAGAAATCTGCAAGCCAAGGAACTGCGTGCAAGCCTTCCACCAGCCAGGAAACTGATTTCCAGTCATTGGCCATCTAGATAAACACATGTAAGTAATTGTTTAGCCAGGGAACTGCATGTTAGCAATCTATAGCTAGCGAATCATGTGCTAGGTATCCGCGAGCAAGGGAACCATGTGTAAGAGATCCAAAATTCATGGACCTGCATGCCAGCGATCCGCAACCTAGTATACGGCTTGCCAGTAATCTGCAGCCCGGGAAGCATGTGCAAGCCTTCCACGAGCCAGGGAACTTAGCGTGGGTGAATGGTTAGCCAGGGAACTATGAGCTAGCATCGGCAGCCAGGAAACTGCATGCCAGTGATAGCCAGACAGGGAACTGCGCACCAGCCATGCTTAAGCTAGGGTACAGTGTGTCTGCGATCTGCAGCCAGGGAACTGCTTCCCAGCAAATGAGGAGCCAGGGAAATGCATGTGAGTAATTGGTTAGCGAGCTAGCGATCTGGAGTCATGAAATCACACACCATGAACCCTGAGCGAGTGATCCTTGTGCCAGCTCAGTGTGGGTGGGTGTGCCAGGCAACTGTGTGCCAGCGACCCACAGCCAGGGAACCATTTGCCAGTGATCAGCGAGCCAGGGAACCACATGCCAGTGATTGGATAGCCAGGAAAGGGTGAGCTGGTGAGCTGCAGCCAGGAAACCACATAGCAGTGATCTGTGAGCTAGAATACAGCTTACCAGCACTCTGCAAGCCAGGGAAGCAGTTACCAATGATCTGAAGCCAGGAAACTGTGTGCCAGCCTTCTGCAACCTGGGGAGCCGCATGGCTGCAATCTGCATCCAGGGATCCATGTGCTAGTGATCGATCATTAATGGAACCACGTGCCAGCGATCCACGAGCCATGGCACACCATGCAAGTGATTGGCCAGCCAGGGAACTGTGTGCCAATGATCTGCAGTCAGTGAACCTCATGCTAGTGATCAGCATACCAACGATTGGTGTGCCAGGGAACTGTATGCCAGGGACCGGAGAGTAAGGGAAATGCATGCCAGAGTTGGGTAAGATTGCTAAAATAACATTCTTGTGGTTCATGTAACTTGAACAAATCCCTAACAGGTCAGGGCCTTAGAGAAATCTCCCACTTTGTTAGAATGTTTGAGGAAGACTTGAGGTTTGCTTTATTAAGACTCTAACCAGTGATTTATAAATTACAGGCTTCTAATTGTCATGGACATTAGGAAAAAGCCCCTAAGACTTGCAGCTGGACCTGAGAGCACCCTGGACATCCTCTCATATGTGGCCCCAAGGTCTTTATCACAGGTAAGGAGGGTATCCCATAGTAGAGCAGGGGGCTAACAGGATGTATGTTCTCCCGGTCCTAGCAAGACCCCTGCGGCTTCAAGTACTTTCACTGCAAAACCAGTGAAGACTTCAGAAGGTTTGTCACAAAGGACACCCAGGACCGTGTCCCAGCTGCCTAGGGGATCACTGGAAATGTGACTGCCCTCGAAGGCCGAGAACTCCAGGGTCAGCCATTTCCTAGTAGATCTTCCACGTGGGACTGAAGCAGCCCAGGCTCCTCCATGGGCTCCAGTGACACATCTGATCAGCACCCAGGAGCCCCGGGCGGTTCTCCTAGAGAAAGGGAAGCCTACAAATTCCCTTCTGGACACAGGAGAGCAACTTTCTCTGTCCTTAGCTCTAGCTTTGGCCCCTTTTCCTTCATTACAGTGACCTTAATGGTCACTCAGCAGCCCAAAATTAGCTCCAATAAGGACCTTTGTTCTTACATGTTTCCCTCTGATGGAGACTAATCCAAAAACTGGAGCATCCAGTAAAAGGTGGGTCCATGACTGTTCAGCCCATGCCGCTGGTCAGGCTCTCCATAGGCCCATGTTTGCAAGTCCCCTTTTTATGTTTTCTGCTGGCTTTTACAAGAGTAGGACACCCTGACTGCTCTGATGCAGAATTTAGGTCTTCCTCACATGCTAAATTTTTGGGGATTTCTCTGCTCACCTGCATAAGATGTCTGCTCTGCAACAGTCAATATATGGCTTCTTGGAACTATGGAGCTCTTGGATTACTTGCCGCTGTTGTAAAGTGTATAAAGTTCTTTGTGAAATCTTGCTAGAATGTCATATGAACTTGTGAGATTTCTCATCAAAAAGCAGAAACAAGCATTGAAGAAGGCAGGATTGGGTTTTGGCCGAAGGTAGCTTACCTTCCAGATGACCCCATCTTTCCTAGGTTTGGTGAACATTTTTTTTTTCTTTCACAAATTATTTTACTTTTTTTCACAAATTATTTTGATATTGATTACTAAGGGGAGGAGTTTATTGAGCCCTATGGGTGTTCGATTAGGGTGAAGAGAGTCAAGATGGGATGAAGATAAGTGAGATACGTGTTTCAGTTTTCCCCTGTGTCCATTGGGCTGAGTGTGTGCACTGGTTCTTGCTATCAGACTCTCTCATATCCTGTGGACAGAGCTGGTCTTTTGATGTCACCTTGGAGACCTCAGTGGGGAGAAGAATGTTGTGAGAGTACTGCTTGAATAGCCTTGATATCTACCTCAGTTTTCCCACAGGGATGTATGCTTATTCTAAAGCCTGAGCTCAAGCGTTGTCCGTCTGTCTTGTTTTCTGTCTTCAGATGAGGCATTCGGGGTCCTCTGCTGCATCAGATGAGCTGCCTGCCTTGGTCACTTCTGCATAGCTGCATATGGTCTCCATTATTACACAAGAGTTGGTGGCTGAGGTGGTCCAGTCCCACAACAGGTGTGAAAAACAGAGAATCAGTGATGGTCTCTATTTTAAAGTGTTCAGAGCAGGGGGAAATGTTCTTTGCAGTGAAGCATTTCCATCAAATCTTTTCATATGCAGACATAAAAAATCAGCTTTGTTTTTAGATTTAATATTTAGTGTTAAGCTAATTTATTCATACACCATCATTCCCGAATATTCTTCTCATGGCCTCTTTCACATCTTTGTTCCTCAAGCTGTATATGATAGGATTCAGCATGGGTATTAAAATGGTGTAAAACACAGACACTATCAAGACATTCTGCAAAACATAACTAGATCTTTTCGTACATACATAGAGAATAAAGACTGCATGATAGCTAAAGACTGGAGTTAGGTGAGAACCACATGCAGCGAAGCCTTTCTGCCTTCCTTCAGCTGGATTCGCCCTCAGAATGGTCACAGAATGAAACCACAGGAGGAGACCGGGACAGTCCGGATGGTGATGGCCTCAGAGGAACTCACAGAGAGGAGCAGTGTCTGACTCCAACTTCCTACGAGTCGCATCACCAAGAAGCAGCAAGTACTGGATGGATAACTAGGGTCCCTGTCACCCACAAGGGAGTGACTACTATATTAAATGTACTATAAATAATATACAACAAAATGAAAATGACTGCCAAAACTATGATAAAGCAGATGCTTATCGAGTGTTGCAACTGAATATCCGTAAATGTGAATGGACACAATTCAGAATACTGAATCTAACTTAGAAATAGGACAAAGCAAAGAAACGTAATATTTCAAAAATGTCTGGGACATTACTTAGCCATAAAAAGGAATTCAATACTGTCTTTTTGCAGCAAAATGATTAGAACAGGAAAATATTCTGTCTAGTGAAATAACAAAGAAAAATGTTTCTGCTGATGTCCCTGATGTGTAGTAATTAATCCACAGGACTTTCTTAAAAAAGATTTATCTGTTTGTATTTTAAAGACAGATATACAGAAAAGAAGATCTTCCATCGGATATTTCACTCTCAAAACAGCCTCAACAACTTGAGCTACACCAATCCGAAGCCAAGAGTCCAGAGCATCCCCAAGGTCTCCCACATGGGTGCAGTGTCCCAAGGCCTTGGGCTGTCCTCAACCACTTTCCCAGGCCACAAGCAGGGAACTGGATGGGAAGCAGGTCTTCTAGGATTAGAACCAGTGCCCATTTGGGATCCCAACACATTCAAGGTGAGGACTTTAGACACTAGACCATCACGCCAGGCCTCGGTGGTCCTTTTTTTTAAAAAAGAAATGCAACTTACATGAGATTGCATTTTGAGATTTGATTATTGTTTACAATCTTTTCCTAAACTCTTGAGGAATAGTCCATTTTTTTTAAATTTTCTACTCATTATTTCTTGAATTCTTTATCAAAAACAGTGGTAATCCTGTCTTTGTGAAGTGAATTAAACACATGCCATTGTAAATATAAAGTGCACCACAGTGCACAAGCTGAGAATGCCCCCTCCAGCCTCTCCTAAAATCCCTGGCATCCCCTCCAACACCCCCAATTCACCCTCTTACCCACCTCGTTCCTCCTCTCTGTGCTTAGAGCCCTGTGCTCATCTCACAGAGAACTTTTTGGCCTCTCAACCAGCTGAAACATTCCTGCAGGAGCTGTATGGCTTGAGGCCTTCCCAAAACCCTCCCAACAGGGGCCAGCTCAAGATGAACTTTGTGGACAGGCTGAAAAGGCTGGGTATTACCAGAGCTCTCAAGGCCCCCAACTCCCAGGGGAGAGGAAAGAGCTAAGTGGCAGAAATGGGTCTTCAGAAGGCTGACTTGGCTGTGTAGTTCAATTCAAGCAGCACTCTACTGGGTGGACTGAGGAGGAATCAGAGTCCCCATCATGATGGGGAGCTTTGGAACCCCAGTTTGCACATCCTCTTCCAAAACAGGAATCCTGAAGGAGAAATGAGGCTGTGAGGTGAACTGACCTCTTCTACAAACTAGCACTTGGAGAAGTAAATGCACAGAGGGGACAATGGGACACAGAAATGGAGAAGCTAGTGTATTTTTCACTTTAAGGGGATTGATGGGTGTGAGAACCTTGAAGGGGAGGCCCCACCTGTGTCTCATGTGAATCCTCCTCATGTGACCTTCCAGTGATTTGTGACTCTCAGAGTTGATTAGAAGGATCATGGAGGGGACTTCACAGGACTCCCCAGTACTTATGAACACTGGATTGCTGGTGTCAGTCCCTTGAGGAGTAACTGAAGCAAGGAAGGTCCCCAGCTTGTCCTGACTGACCACAGACCCCAACTTCCTGCCTTGACATCCTCTAATCTCCTTTCGAATTGAATGTTTCTGACTAGGCTTCCTAAGGGACTCAGGTTACTTGCTGAGTATGTGCTGGTGCATTCCCAGAACCTTTGCAAAGGGGCTCTGGGGATCTCTGGGTGGGTCATCTAGGACTCTTCCCAGGCAGAAGCCCAGGGCCTTGCCTGAGTCCTTCTCAAGGCGAAGCTTTGAAGGTCTCCCGGGTTGCATTATCTGCATGTTCTTTTTGCCATCCTAGAACTTAGCCTTTGCCTGGCTTGTTCCAGGAACTGGGTCCTGCACTGGCTTTTGCATCAGAGTAGGCTTCATCTTGCGGGGTGACCCATACAAGGGTGATGTCAGCCTCTTTTGTAGCCATTGCTCCAGTTTTTGCTCCATTGTTGACAAACAATTGGAGGTTTTAGAGCTGGGCTGTGGCCCTGGGAGGCCCATTTCTTAAAAGTGCACTAGTCCATCATCAGGTACAGTTTGTTGACCGATTGAGTTAAAGGCATATGAATGGGTGATGAGAGGGGAGATTGGGTCTGAATTAGTGCACGATTTGGGGACTGACCCCAGTGCAGTAAGGAATTATGGAGCCCATTAAACAAAATCAATGGACTCACTGTGCAGAACTGCAAGGCCCCAGAAGAGCTGGCTGCATTTCTGCTGGAAATAGTCTTCCCAGACCTTGGAAAAATAAATCCTGTGAGGATCAGGCAGTTCCTTTGTTTTGTCTTTCGTGACCCAGAATGGGGAGGAAGGGTGGTGTTCTGCTGGCCCACTGAGGACCCTACACTGATCCCCACGGCATCCCCAGGAAGTGGACCGATTCCTCCTCTGCTCCATCCTTCCACATCTTCCCTCTGCTGTATTGGTCTCCAGCACCTTCTGGACATTGGGGTTGATGAACCAGCACTTGCCAGTCCCTGTCCATTGGGTGTTGCTGTACATGAAATGGTGGGGACCCAAACACTGGCAGCTGCCTGCCATCAGGAGAGGGTAGAGATGGGGCACTGATGGGATCCTGGACTGAGAGCCCTGGGGTGGGAGAAGGCCAACAGGAGCTGGGAGGAGATAAGCCTTGTGCCATGGAGTCCAGTGAGAGAGTCTCTGATCTGCACTGATGGAGAGGCAGGCTGAGGTCCAAGGGATGGAGGGGATGGGCCACCTGATCAGAAGGATCTGGTTGGGGAGCAATCAGCACAGATGTCTGGGGCAAAAGGTATTTTGGGGGTGGTAATGGCTCTGGTGAGCAGAGGAACTCGGGGTGAGAGATCGGGTGTGATCATTAGGTATAGGGACAGGGTAGAAGCCACTGGCAGAGCCTGTTCCATCAGGGGAGGACAGGCAGTCAGCACCCATGTGGACAGGGTGTTGTAATCATGACCATCTTCATCCCCATGTGGCCACTGTGCTGGAGCAGGTGCTGTCTTTTGCTCATCCTCATGGGCATTGCCACATGGGAGCCTCCCCAGCTGCCTGTTGGAGAATGAGGCACAGCTAAAGCTAGGAACAGGCAGAGCCAGTAATTCACCCAGTCAGTCAAGACAGGGGTTGGTGCCTGCAGCCATGGCCCCTCCCGTCCTCCATGTCTTCAGAGATCTCTACTCCTACCCTCCCCATTTCTATCTGATGGACTCCCTACCCTTGGGGTTCCAGGCCCTGTGAGTTAAAACAGGTGCAAGAAGGAGACAAGCAGAATGTTCCTCACCTTTGCAGAAGGGGAGTGAGACCTGGAGCCTTCTTGGGTTTCCCATCTTGATGTGTGAAGGCTGGAATGAGGAGAAGAGTGATGTGGTAAAATGTCCCTTCTAAGGTGGGGGGTTGGCTTGGAGAACAGAACTTGAACCAAACATTCATGTCATCATGGTGCTAGCATTTACACAGGGTTTCCACACCTCTCTCTCCCTGCCACCTCTCCTCACTTTAAGGTGACAGTGGAACATGACCCTGGAGACTGACCTGCCATCCTGGACCTAGTGCCACCTGGTGGAATACCTGCTTCTCCAGCACTGCCTTAAATCCCGTTGATCTCAGTCCCCTTGAATGCCTGTTCACCCTAGGTCTGGGCCCCCTTAAGTCCCACTGGCCTACATGAACTTCATACCCTCAATCCCCACAATCCCACCCAAGGCTATAAAGATGCCTCTGCCCTTTGCTCTCTCTGCTTTGCTCTGCTCTGTGT